ACCTCACATTTCTGTGGTTTGCTCTTTGACAGCACTGCAGGCCTGTTCCCCCAGTCTGCTCTCCATGGTGTAACCATGGAGGGCGGGGTGCGGCTCCTAGGCTGCTGCCCTTCCACTGTGCCTTCGGTATCAAGGTTGTCTTTCTGCCCTCTTCCCAGGTGTACAGATCATGACATCCAATTTGTCCCTGAGCTAACAGCTGGCACCTGTCTTGTCTTCCCATCCTCCACCTCTAAAGCTGCAAGCTCGGGCTGGTAACGTGGAGTTAGGGTTCCCCCATTCTCAGGCAGGTTCGAGGATAAAAGGGAATGCTTATTCTGTTTCAAGCTCTAACTCTTAGCTGTTCACTCCCATCCTTAGACAGCTGGGCATCAATGGCCGTGACCATGGTCACCCCACTTCTGAGGCTTCTTGCTTTCCTTACTGCTGTGGGTGAGTGGTATTCAAATAGCCACCCATACCTGGTAATTTCAGGGCATCCCTGTATTCACACATAGGCTGAAAGCGCTTAGTATGTACCCCAGCTTTCCCTGCTTGGGGCCAAATGGCCGGCTAGGGGCTTTGCCCACTCTGCTTCCTCCCTGGCTGCTTCCTCAACATCCTTACTGGTTCTCCAATTTTTTTTTTTCAGAGAGGGAGGGGACCAGCTTAATCTTAATGTCTGAGGACCTGCCTGAAATGCCATGAGAACCAGAAAGCGAGGCAGATAGGCCCAGTACCACACAGCAACCAGTTTATTGAAGAGTTGTTAGAAGTGAGGGCCTGCAAGCACCGTAGCCAGAACCACTGGAGCCCCATACTCGGGGGTCAGCCTGGAGATGCTCTGTATCCAGCAAGGGCTGTAACAATACTGCAGGCTGCCGCATGGGTGTGGACCCTGGTGTCCTGTAGGGTGCTACAGAGGAACACGTGAATCTGGAGTTTCCTTGCACAGGCCAGGAAGTGGGTGCTGGCCTAACCTTTCTCGCTGTGTGACCTTGAGAGAGTGACCTAACACCTCTCCCTCCGCTTTCCCATCTCATTAGACTGATCTTCCATTGGCAGCCCTGTCCTCCATGTACTTGGCTTTCTTCCCTTTAAAAATTTATTTTATTATATAGTCATATGTTTGCATTTATGTCTGGTGCCCTCATAGCCCAGAAGAAAGCAGATAGCCTGGAACTAGAGTTACAGATGGTTGTGAGCCACCATGTGGGTGCTAGGAATCAAACCCAGGTCCTCTCACAGAGAAATCCATGTTCTTAACCACTGAGCCATCTCTCCAGATCCTTATACTTGACTTTAAAATGCAAAGTGTGTGTGGCTTGGATCTCAGGCAGCCCTGTGACCCCTTATTCCATCCCAGTGGCCTGTCACTGTCCTGGTGGCTACACCTCATTGAGGCACCTCCAGACTTTATCCCATCAGCCTTCGTGTAACGTCATCTCTGGGCCACTTCTGTCTCTGGCCAATGCACATAACACACAAGGGGATTTCCAAGGCTATTTTGGGACCCTAGAAACTGCAGCTTCTGCTCCAACGTTAACACTCTGAAGTGAGTCAAGGGGCAGAAGATGTATGGATGAGAGATTCTTTCATGGGAAAGAATGGGTGGAGAATGTCAGGGCCTTGGGTACAAGGGCTGTCCCTGACTGGTTGGCTCCAGCCCTGGGGCCCGATGGCAGAGGTGGTCACAGGAGGATAAGAACTCTACAAAGAAGAAGTATGGGCTGTACTTCCAGGCCTGTAGTTGGAACCATGGACCGGTGCATACTAGTTTCTAGGAGTTAGCTTGCTCTGGGAGGGGTGCCTTTCAGTGTCAGAGAGACCCCAGATACTAGGGCAGCATGAAGACACAACAGGGGCAGGGACACAGAGGTGCTGAGATGGAGGGGTGCCTGAGGCTGAGTGAGGTCTTCCTGCCCCCCTTCCTCTGGGCTGAGGTCCAGCATGGCTTGTTGGAAGGGGCCATTTCTTCTCATCACCAGGAAGGGACAGAACCCCCTGGGCTGTGTCCCCAGTTTGGTCTCCTCCCTCTCTGGAATCCCATGAAGATTATATGACATCACACCTGTGGCTGTGTGACTCCTAGCTTTTTATAGAGTAAACGCCACACCTGAGGATGTCACTAACAGACACACTACCTCTAGTTTTAACACGGACTCATTCAAAGAGCCAGGCTTGATGTGTTTTAGTGACCACACGTTGAGCCATGTGGAAGCATGGGGGCCAGTGGGATCCCACCATGTCAGGTGCTCACATGGTTTCTGTGGAGCTGGCTTTGCAGGCACCAGAGGGGCTGGACCCTGGATCAGGGCAGGAAGGAACCATGAAATACACAGCCCTGGAAATAACAGGAAACGGAGGGCAGGGGAAGGCTAGGACTTGACAGTACTTTCTGACCTCTGAGATGAGGAGAGAGGCAAGACATGAGCTGGTAGGGCCCTCACAGATCTTGGGAGAAAGACTGTTTTTTTTTCTTTTTTTATTAGCATGCAACAGGGTGGAGTGGGCAGTGGGAGTTATCTCAGGCCTCTGGCCACTAGGCTGCTGTCCCTGCTCAGTCTATGTTTTTATCAACATAGGCTGGGCTCCTCTGTGCTCCCTGTGGGTCGAGGGAGGGAGCAGGCTTACAGTGGCTCCCAAGAATGTCTGGCTGACCCAGTGGTGACATCCCAGTGATGATGCCCTGTTTCTGAGAAATCAGTACCCCAGAGCAGCTCCTGTGTTCCAGGATACCGAGGTAGGTAGAATTAGCCCGGCTAATTCTCATAGAACTTAGGCCTCTCAAGGTCTGACTTTTCCTGGAGGCCCCAGGGAAGGACAACTTGGAGAACCTGGCTTCAGGGTCATGCTAGGCATAGGTGGTATTGAAGATGACTGGGGATCCTTTGTGGGACCTTGTTGCTCTGAGAGCAGAAGGAGATATGTGGTCAGGATGGGGGCTGGCTGCAAAGACAGGATTGTCTCTTGGACCACAGGGAGAGAACTGAGCAGGCAGACCTGGGCCCAGTGAACAGCCAACCAATCCAGGCTATTGGGACACACACACACACACACACACACACACACACACACACACACCAACAGGGTTGGTAGAGTGTATTGTTTCCATGGTGATCTCAGAGAAGGACACGTATGCATTTGGGGATCTTTGGGAAGAGTCCTCCACTCATGAAGTCCAGTGGAAAAGAATTTTGAGGTATTCCAAATCCATCTGGGAGGAAGGGTGTACCCTGAGGGCCCCTGATCTGTCTGCACCGAAGGTTGGCAAAGGAATCTGAGTGGGTGGGAGGTATGGGTATCAGGAGGTGGGCTATGACACTCCAGCCAACCCTGGCCCAGCAAGGCAGACGCTGTGTGTGTACTAGTTTGCTTTTTGTTGCTGTGAGGCATTGACAAACAACAACAACAACTTGGGGTGGGCGGAGCTTTATTTGGCTTGCACTTCCAGGTCACAGTTCATCTCAGAGGGCAATCAGGGCAGGGACTCAAACAGAAGCAGAGGCAGGAAGCGCCGAGGAAAGCCACTCACTGACTTGACCCTAGGTTTGTGCTTAGCTAGCTTTGTATACAGCCCAGGTCCACGTGCCTACAGTGGTTCTGCTGACAGTGGCCTGGGCTCTCCCACATGTATTAGCAATCAAGAGAATGCCCACAGGCCAACCTGATCAAAACATTCCCCGGAGACTCCCTCAGATAACTCTGGACTGTGTCAAGTGGACATCTGAAGCTAACTAGGAGAGTAGTAGAGGGTCTGTGCCTTGTTTCAGGTTGTCTCAAGCAGACACAGGACTCTCTGACCCTCAGGGTCTCACTGTACAGTGGAAGCACCTTCCAAAATCACTGACAGGACACTGGGCAAACGCACAGTTGGGTAGACACCCAAAAGGCTGGCATGGGCTTTCCCCCCAGGCAGAAGTGGGTAGCTAGAGGCTAACAATTGGACTTATGGACAGGCTACTTCCCTTCCTGCTCTCAGTTCCCCAAAGCTGAGGAACTGAAGTTGAGAAGACTGTTCTGGAGGCGGCCAGATGGCTGCACTGGCTCCTAAGCTCCAATGTAGAGGAGGGAAGGTCCTCGTGTGGGATGGAAGGGACTCCTCTGAAAGAGGATGACCAGCACCTCAAGCTCCTAGCCTCCTGGGATCTCTGCATTTAGACCTGCCAGAGAATCAGAGGTGAAGGCCTCGTGCCACAGGATGCATTCCAACACAACCTGAGTGGAGTGGGGAGAGCATGTTGCCAATTCCAGGACACCACTCAGGGTTCTTCTGTTCTTGTCCAGCCTCAGGTACAAGTTTAATTACAACAGAGACCAAATGTGCCTCCATCTGTTTGCCTGGTCCAACTCAGAATTACACCCACACAGATGTTAAAGGAGGCCAGCACGTCATGGACGTGGGCTTAGTGTTGACGATGTAAAAAAATCCTCTTGGGACTTGCTGGACACAACTCAGAACACTGACTTTATTCAATGAGGAAGTAGAAATGTAAGGGTTCAGTTAGCACAATGACACATGGGTGGCAGCAAGCTGGTTCTCAGCCATCTGTGCCAGGATTGGTGGCCTCCCATTCATCTCTGTGCCCCTGGCCAGGCAGGAGCTCAGCCACCTCCTCTAGAGAGCAGCCAGGCTGCTTCCTCAGAGGAACCCTACTAGGTAGGTAGGTCCTGTCCAGGATGGAGGGTGAGGCAGGAACTGTCCAGGTGCTGAAGTCCTGGGTGTCCTGCTAGGTAGAGGTGCTTTGAATTAGGCAGAATTGAGAGAGGGCTTGCTGCCCACTCAGCGAACCTCAATTTGAGATTCAGACCCAGGAGCCCCCAGCTTTTAAGGAGCATTGGGTGAGGTTTATATCATCCAGTGGTCTCTTTTCCTACACATTCCCCTCTGTGCTTTGATGGGTCCTCTAAAGCTTAAGCTGACCTTGAACTCTATTTTCAGTGTGTGTGTGTGTGTGTGTGTGTGTGTGTGTGTGAGAGAGAGAGAGAGAGAGAGAGAGAGAGCATGTATGAGCATGTATTTCACGTGGGTGCAGTGCCTGCAGAAGCCAAAAGAGGGAGATAGAGACCCTGGAACTAGAGTTACAGATGTAGCCCAGGTGCTTGGTTTGAAGGTCCTGCCATGGCCTCTCAAGCAGCTGGGGTGGCAAGCCTGTGACAGATTTGCTCTTGATCCCTAACCGAAGCCAGGCAGGCTTTGCTCTCTGGCTGCAATGTGGGGTCAGGAAGATGCCTTCTGCTATAGTTTGGCCTTCCAAGCCACTTACTCCCCCTACCTAACTGAACATCCAATTTTAATGTCATTTATTCCACACTAAAGGGAGGAGCATGGGGCCCTGAGAAAAGTCACCCCACACTCCACAGCTAGGAGGATGCTTGTGGTGGAGAGTCAGCTGCCCACCACATGACTAACCTGTCTCATGCCTGACCGCTCTCCTTGCTGTAGCCGTGGGGGCAGGTTGGCCGTGGAGGCAGCCGTCATGAGACAGTGCTGCAGCTCCGCCTAACGTGCACAGTCCCGGGCCCTCTACAGAAACATCACTCTCTGTCTGCTCTTTCCCAGCATCCTCTCAGGGGTCACATGACTGGGTCATCATCAAAGACGTCCCTCCGGGTTCTCACTAATGGAGCTCTGATGCCAGCTCTTACCTACATCAGGCAGCAACTCTGGTCCCCACGGGCTGGAGCTGCTCATGTGACCCACTGGTCTTAGACGGTCATGTCCACAAGCCCCCCTTGGGAGGCCTCTCTCACAGCCCCCAGCTCAGCCTCATCCCCCAGTGCCCGCTGGAGCACCAGCCGGAGGGGTTCCTGCAACCTCCGGCCAAGGGTGCTGCCCAAGAAAAAGTAGATAGCAGGCTTGGCTGAACTGTGCACACTGGCCATGAAGAAGCTGAGGTGGTAGAAGTACAGGGGGGTGTGCCAGGACAGGTTCTTGGACAGCCAGAAAATGCCAAAGGGCAGACCGCAGAAGAGGAAGAGAAGGATGGACAACAAGACCAGGGTAGTAAAGCCCCGGGGCTGGTGCCTCTCTGGACCATGCTCCACCCGCAGCAGCAGGAGCAGGCTGGTCACACACATGGAACAGCACAGGGCAGCCAGGAGGACTGCCACCACCAGCCACAGCATCCCACACAGGTGGTAGCTGGGTGCCCCGAAGAACTGGGTGCAGGCGCCGCTCAGCAGCAGGTCCAGGAGCAGGCAGAGCACCCAGATGAGGGCGCACACGCAGGTAGTCAGGTAGCGCGGGCGGCGGCACAGGTACCAGGCTGGGAAGAGGGTGGCCAGGCACTGCTCTATGCTGATGGCCGCGAGAAGGCTCAGGCCCACAATGTAGCAGAAGAAGCGAAGCATGATCAGGCTGATGTGTATGAATTCTGGGAATTTCAGTTGGTCCCGCAGCAGCTCGGGGATGATGGCCACCATGTGGCAGCAGAGAAAGATGAGGTCGGCGCAGGCCACATCCAAGAGATAGATGGAGAAGGGGTTCCTGTAGACATTCTGGCTGAGGAGCCAGAGGGCTACTCCGTTGCCCAGCAGCCCACCCAGGCTGAGGAGCTCGGTGAGGGACAGGATGGTCAGGTTGAACGCCATGTCTTCCTGGGTGCTGGGAGACTGTGTGTGCATCCTCAGTGACATTGTGAGAGGAAGCCGACTGCAGCAGAGGCTGTGGAAGTCTGTGATGCGCTTTCTCTCTTTCTGGACACCCCTGCAACCATAAGGACACAAGCTCAGGACTCCTGCCCACTTCTGAGGACCTAGGTAGCCAGAGAACAGTAGGTGACAGGAATGGTGACACTCACAGGAGGAAGTGCCAACCTCTCACTTATGTCTTATCATCTTATCTAGCCATGCCTCCCTCCCCCCCCCCCCGTTTAAGGCATGAGTTGAAACGGTTTCTGTCAGTCTTTCAGAGAGCCCCACCCTAGGGCCTACTAAGACTGTGCCCTCTGTGCTTTCCCTGGAGAGGCTGACTGGGCTAGAAAATGGGGGGTGGGGGGAGGAAGAGGGGTTCAAACCTGATGGCTCCCTTTGTACAGGGAGCATAGGACTTGGAGGGGTGACTCTGGAGGACGCAGAGGTTCTCTTGTATTTGTTAATAGCATAAAAAGCTCTTAAGTCAGCTGGGCATGATGGTACACACCTGTAATGCCAACACTCAGGGAGGTGGAGACAGGCAAATTGTTGTGGCCTGGAGGCCAGCCTGGTCTACAGAGCAAGTCCAGGACAGCCAAGGCTACACAGAGAAACTGTTTCGAAAAACAAAATGAAACAAAACAACAACAGAAAGCTCTTAAGTCTTCTAGGCCTTTCTGGAGCATCCCATGAGGGCGTGTTGGCAGTAGGCTCTGGACCCCCTTAGCTGGCCACCATACCTTGAGGGCAAGGTAGCTCCAGCAACCTTCTCTGCTTGGCCACATGCCCACAGTTTGTGAGGCAACCCGGCCCTTTAGGGACTAAGGAAGCCTCTCCTTTTCACATGCCACTCACTTGTCCCTTTCCTTCCCTGAGGGGGAAGAGGCACCTATTTGCAGGCACCTCCTGCCTTCCTTGCCTGAGACACTGTATGCTGAAGGGTGGGGCTGGAGGGTGGGGCTGGAGAGGCAGTGCAATCTTCATTGAAGATAGCCAGGGCCATGCCACTGAGGCAGCTAAATGCCATACCTCACTGGAGACCCAGACCTCAGACAGATACCCACATCTCCAGTGTGGTTCTGTCTCACCCACCACCTGAGGTCTCCTGTCTTGTCCCAGCACCTGTGGTCATCTGTACCATCCTTTCACCTGTGTTATCTGTGCCCATCACTGTCTTCAGTTTTTCCTTGTGCCTTTTTCTCCCCAGAGACTGGCTGGAGTCTTCCTCCTGCCTTGGTGTGGCTAGTCCTCTGGTCTCCTTTGGGAACTGGGTGTCAATCTCTGGGTGGAGATTAAGGGCTGCCTTCCTGGCTCTGGCTTCCACCCTAGCTCCCAAGGCCCTGGGAATGCCTGATGGGCAACAGGCAGAACGGGGGGGGTGTAGTGGGGTGAGCAGAGCGGGGTGTCGGTGGCCAAGCTGGGTTCTGTGAAGCACCATCATCCCATGTTAACCATCTGGGTGGGCCCCGAACCCACACTTCATGGGGAAAACACAGACCAAGAGCCCGTGTATCCCTGTACCTACTGGTGGGATGAGCTAGTGTCCCCCCACCTAGGAAGTCTGGATGGGTTGCTGTGGGGAAGGGGGAACACTCAGAGGTGGGACCCCTGGCACAGACCCCTCTCAGCAACTCAGTTCCACACACCCATGCACTGAGCTGCTTCCGGGACCCCAGGGAGGCTCTGGCTCTGAATGAGGGGGAGGTCTTCCCAGCCTTTAGGCTCTCACATAAGGCTCTGCAACCTCTCTCCTTTTCTGGGCTGGCTTTCTCATTTACCTCTGAACCTGAAGATGCCTGTCTGTGTGCCAAGGGTAGGGATGGGAGCCAGGGAGGACACAGCCCTGCATACCCCAGGGGAAGCTCAGGAAGAAGAGAAGAGGAGAGAGTAAATGGGAAGTGAGGTGGGCAAGGAGAGGAAGAGGAGGGAGTGGGAGGAGGGGAGGTGAGCAGAGGATGGAAGCTATAGCCACACCAGGGGAATAACAATAGCAACAATTTAGGGGTGATGGGGAGGGCAAGGCTTAGCCAGGCCTGGCCAGTGTCCCTTTCCCACCAGAACCCTGTGAGGGGGCTGTGGGGAGGGTCACCTGCTCAGCTGGAGGTTGGGAGTCTCAGGGTTGTATAGCAGGAAGAACTAGATCATGTGATCTGTGAGAGGAAAGAAGGAGAAGGAGGGAGGGGACCACAATAGAGGAGAAATGGGGAGGTTCCCCTTGGAAATACAGAAGGTTGGGATAGGACATCGGTGCGGTTTTGCCTTCTATAGACTGGGATCGGCACGCCCCGCCCTGGCTCTGTTCTTGTTGGGGATGCTGAGGATTGAGGACCAGTGCTCAGGTGGTGGTCTCCTGAATCTCCTGCACTCTCCATGGAGTAGGACCCATTGTCCTCTTCCTCAGGGGACACAAGAGTACGGTGAGAGGGCTGATGGGACAGGAGCCTCACCACAGGTGGGGGAAAGTACTATTTACCTCAGTTGCCCTTCTGGAGTGGCAAGGGGTTGCCTGTAAGCCAGATGGCCCAGCCCAAGTCAGAGGATGGAGGACAGGCCAGCCAGTCTCATGTAACCGCCCCTCCCCCACCTTCCCAGCCACCCCCTCCACCCCCACCGCCCAGAAGACACCCAGCTCCTGGGCTGCCCCAGAGCTC